CAACTTTGGCAATGCGCCAAATATATGTGAACCCCCTCCCTCCCTCCCTCCCTCCCATTTTCCCCTGCCACTCGGCACATCTCCCCGACCGCTTTGGCTAACTGCGAAAACTTCTTAGGTACGAAATCTTTGACAAGACGTTCGCCGCGGGACGATCACTGGCTGCCGGATGCTGCCGGGGTCGACGGCGACGGCGACGCCTTCTGCTGCTTCAGCCTCATCGCATCCGCATCCCTGCAAGACGAAAAAGAAGCCAAGTGATTCATCCAAGTTGACGGTTCACGCGCTCTCTTCGCGAGCTAACGACGGAATTTTCCACCGCGGAAAAAGACGAGGCGTCGCGTCGACGCAACGGAGCGGACTCGGCGTTCCGCGGGGCGATGCGAACGGAATCTCATTATCATTATGACGGCAGAGAGAGAGAGAGACCCACCTCTCCTTTCTCGCCTGCAGCGAGGCTCCGGCGCTGCCACCCTTATCCGGGCAGCCCTTCTTCTTCTGCAAGTCCTGCAGTTTCTTCTGGTTCTTCTCGCGCGCCTTGTCCCGCTGGTTTCCGCCTGCGATAGCGGGAGAGAGAATAGGAGAAACGTTTCCTTGCGGCTCCCAAACACGAAACACGAAGCGATCGCGGAGCGATCGCGGAGCGAAAGGCCAGACGATCAGTTAAGTACTAGTAAATAAAAAACGGAAGTTCATCGCGTAATAACCAACTTGTGCTGAAATCCGAAGGAACCCTTCATTCCATCGAGACGAAAATGGACGTGCGTGACGTTTGCTCTTTCATAGATGACGCAGCCCACGAGAGTAACTACCAATGTCATTTATCTATTGCTAATTATATAGGTGGTGTTGAACCATTCACAAGGAAAAAACCACAAGATATGCAAAGATACTTGACAACGGCCGTCAACTGGTGTTCCGCCCATATCCGTTTCGTGTCCCGACTCACCTACGGCGTCAGTACCCCTACGGGAAAGATGCACACTTTGACACCACGACATCCATGACAACCTACACATGTTCATAAGAATGAGATTTGGGGTATAAACCAAATGTGATCACATTGCACAAGTACATACAGTGGTACACTACAAACGTTCACGCGCAAAGAGCATGCACTGCCAGAGTGTAGTTCGTCTACAAACAAACCGACTGCAGAACGACAGGACACCTCGACTTGCGAATTTGTTCGGTCTTCGAGGAAGGCATTTCTCTAAATACAAGTATAAAGTTCAACAATGCAAATAAGCAACTGAGCACCCCCCCCCCCAGGGTTCTCCAAGCTTTTTCATTATAGCATTGCGGGTGCTGCCTTTACGGTCCTAGTTGCAAATCGCCGAAGGCGGTTTACGTGCTAGGGGGTTCCGGGGGCTATGATATTTAGCATGGCCGCTATGATATTTAGAGTGGCGAATGCATTTTAGGATGGCGGGGCTCGACGATAGCCTGGCGGGCCGCCAGGCTATAAGTGCTCTTGGAGAACCCTGCCCCCCCCCATTTACTGGACACGCCCCACATTTTACAAGAATTTAATAGATGAAGAGCACAATTATTAATGCCAGCATTTAGATCGGCAGAAAGGATAACTCGCCACGCGTGATCTAGACTAGTCCCGCTTCCTATACTGGGTACCCATGGTTTTAAGTAATGGGAGCAGGAAACAGTCTACACATTTCGCAGCTGAAATGAGTTGTTCCTGGCATACAAAGCCCAAGGCAAAATAACCACTTCGGTATCGAATTTGCATTAAAAGTGCCAAGCAAAATGTTTCCTGCACATATAGTCAAGATATCAACACGAGAAAAAAACAATTATGTGAACCAAGGTCTTAATTATTACAAAATTGTGATATGTTAATGTCTTTTGTTACGCACATGGCCAATTCTGATAGTTGTATGCAAAAGTACTGCCAAAGAGGATGGGGAAAATTACTAACGAGCATAATTAGCAGTCGTAGATTACACTGGAGTGATTGTATAAGTAATAAATGAAACGTTAAAAAAAAATTGCCAACAGATAAAATTCCCTAACCCTTAAACGTTCTTAAATATAAGGACTGGAATAGCAAAACCTAAGCAAATATTAATAGCCGATTGTTACCGATACGCGCCGTTACAAGTCGCAGCAGGCTGCAACTTTGGCAATGCGCCAAATATATGTGAGCCCCCTC